AAATGCAACTGGTAAGCTGTAAGTTCACAGATTCGGCGTCACAATTTGACAGTTCAGGGAGTATCGAGAGGTGAGACAGGTCCCGCTTGTCAAGAGGAGTGAGCTTGAGCTCGTCGTGTTATGCTCGAAAACTTGCATGACTCGTTTCCGGGATAAAGGATAAAAAGGATAAAGTCTTCGCCGTTGATCAATCCCTTTGTGGGATGCGGCACGCATTCTACTTCCATTCAGAATCGTAGTTATTGAATGCGATGTGGCCTATACAATGACTTGCGGGGGCCAGCCGATGTACAAGTCAGTGTTTTATCCTCCCAGACGAATCTGGTACCAATTTACCGTCCCCGGAGGGTAGAAGGCTTGGTTGGCCTGGGCGGGTGTCGACCCGGGATTCGAACCCGGCGCCGCGCGAGTGGTAAGCGCGCCACTTGTCACTACACCACCTCCGCCTCAATTTCCGGGAAAGTCATGCAAATTTCCCTTTCTATACCTTACACAGCATTACAATCCGTTGGTTTTCCACATGGTGTGTACGTGCATGGTACGTACCACTGGAAAACGTGGTGCATGGTGCATTTCGTCCCAAGACCGTATCAACTGGGATCACTTCACTTCTCTCGCTGGGCTCTGGGAGGATTCCGTCATCGACAACATCGACGAGGAATACGAACGGCTTGTTGCACATCTTCACGACTGCGCCAAGAAGTCAGAGGGTTCCAAGATTACCAAGAAGCGTCTATCTCTGGAAACTCTCGAGCTGATTCGCCAACGTGGAGCCGCACGAGCCGCAGGCAATTACCAGCTGACGTCTGAGCTTGCGAAGCTATGCAGAGAAGCGATAAAGGAAGACCTCAACGAGAAAAGTGCAAAGTGCAGCACCACAGGTAGAAGCTGCAAAGGCTGAGAAGGGTACCCGCAACGCGGCGTCGCCATTTTTAGGACCAAGATGATCGCCCTCCATCGTCCGGATGGAACAATCACCGCATCCAGAAGGGCAATGGAGAAGGTCATCCACGACTTCTACTCGGATCTCTTCGACAGCCACGTCCACCTGCCACCATACCGCTTGGAGCAGGATGGATATGTCGTTCCTTCAGTCCTCCCTTCCGTAGTGGGCTAATGGGAACGTTTATGGCGCCCGATCGAGAAACTCGATAATCGAGGGGAGCACACGCGAAAAAAGAGGTGATCGAAGAACTTCTCCTCTACAACTCGGGAAGCGCTTTTGAGAGGTGCGCTTCCTGTGGCGACATGTGCAAGAGATTCAGCCGCACTATCTACACAGCACTAGCTGAATATGAATCCTTAAGTTCTACCAATCTACCAGCTGAATATGTATCCTTAAATTCTACCAATCTACCACCAACCAAATATTGGGATCATGTAAGTAACTTACTGGAGAGCAATTACTCTCGCAGCAAGCAACTGCTACTATTATTCACTTTTTTATTCACTTTCCACTTTTAACAAAGCACGAATTTAGAGAGGATCGCGTGATGACCCGTTGCCGAGCCTTCAGTACTTCTAAGTGTGCCGTGAGCTTAATCACCATTCAAGAGAATTACTACTTAGGCGGTGACGTCCGTT